TCTTGTTCAGGCCCAGGTCTGTTTGGGAAGTGTAAGGGTCTTGTTGTCGAATGATACTGGTTAAGTTTTTTCCTGAAATACATTTCATTTTGTTATAAGTACGTGAGTGTGTGTCTTATTGGGGATGGAGGTTTCTTCTCCTCACTCTGTGTAGAGTGCCATCACCAAGCTCCTTGTGAACCCAAGATAACTGTACCCTATTGTGTAGATATAGACCTTCGATGGGTTTTCATTCATCAGATTAGATATTTAGAGAGTATTTGACAGCTAAATTTAGAAGGGTGACAGCAGACAGGGGGGACTTACATACATTAGCGAGTAGTGAGTCCTCATATCTGTTACATCTGTGAAGTTTTCCAATCCTTTTCAAAAATACAGAAGTTCTAACAAGTTGTCTGAGGTTTTCACTCAGGAGCAAAAGTTAACTGACAGATACTGGAGAGGGTTTATGCACTTATGAACTTCAAAAATGTTGCCATGATGCTTGCTACAAGACACCAGAGAGCAATCAGTTACCATCTTGACTGTAGCTCATTTTTTAGACCATCGGTTGAGATATCAAAGGTTTCCCCAATGTTGCTTGCCACTTTCCCACAGAATGATCAGACTGCAATTGCCCAAAACATCACAGTGTCAGGGTCAGTACTTGATGCATCATCTGTCTGTGTAGATGGAATCAAGTATCATACAGGCATGATACTCTCTGCTGGCTCATGTTCAGGTCTTCCTGAATTTGCTCAGATTGAAAAGATTGTTGCAGCTAATGTAGAAATTCTGTTTGTCTGCTACAAAGTGACAGCATGGTACTCTGAGCATTTCAGATCTTATCAACTACACCAGGGGTGCCCACACTTTTCGCCTTGCGAGCTACTTTTCAAATGATCAAGTCAAAGTGATTGACCTACACTAAAAATACTACATACACACACACACACAAAATATATGTATGAATGAGTGTCGTAGTTTTTATGAACAGTCTGAAAGTGCCGCTCCACATTTCCCTTCTTCGGAATAGTAGATTGGTAGATCAAGCAAACGCACTTCAAATATAACGGCGCGAAAAAAAAGTCCTCCTCCCATTCCGCATGGAATGTTTTCAGTACGTTTTCAGTTTCTTACTTGATTTGGCCCCCCCACTCATTTTATACCCTTTAGTAGACATTCATTCGAAGGCTGACAAGGTAGTTCGCTCACTGGAGCAGTAGCTCGTGCTGTTGACTGTGCATGTTTGGTGACTCGTGTGTCAGAAAAGACAAGATCTCAGACTGGCTGCCCTGCATGTCAATCAAATAGCAAATGCCATAGGGAGGATGGATGATAGGCTATATATGAATGATTAGCACTTTCTGCTTTTCCTGTTAGGGATCACCACAGTGCATCGTCACACTGACCATTCGCATGTTAACATTTGGCACGTGTTTTACGCCGGATATATCTAATTTATTTTTGAATGGCACGCGACCGGTGACCTACCAATCGAGGAATGATTTGAACCCAGCTCCTATTTGGTTTCTCGCTTTTAAATTTATCAGGCACGCCTCGAGGCACTCCTATGGCATCTATGTAAATCATGTTATCAAATGAACCTCCTACGGTGGAGCTTCGCTTTGCTCAATGCCACGGACGGTCTTTTATTAGTTGATCTAGCTTGGAGAAGTCTCCAGCTGGGAACATTTTAAAGGGCATAACCAGCTGAATAAAGGCGCATTGGCCTGTCCAATAATTGGGGAGCTTCGGTCACAGCTTCATATCACCACACATCCACCAGAGGTCAGCCCTGCTGACAAACCATTCTCTATGAAAATTGGTGTGATTAGTGGTGATGTTAAGACTGGTGGAACAATAGCCTGGGGGGAAAGTTTGAACATTTAGTCCATAGGCAGAGGTTAGTTCAAAACAAGTGTAGTTACCTTTGAGACATGCTATCGATGGGGGAGCTCCCGCTAGCATGTCTCATGTATCTATAGGGATGAGCTCAGCCATTGTGGTGCACAGGGAGGAATTGTCAGAATTAGGTTTATACAATTTTAATACGCGTTGGAGCCCTTGCAGGCCAGTTTGTGGTTCTAATCTAAAGGGGGATGTCCCTAGTTGTGGCCTTGCTGTGGCACAAGCAATGCAGCTGCTTTGGTTATGTTGTCTAGCTGTGTAATACATCCATTCTAACCATTCATTTCTGTCTTGGTATCCCATTTCTAAAGCTAATTTATCTTCTAGTGTCAAATTAGTGAGATACTGGATTTTAGGATTAACGTGTGGCGTAGGCACACCCTTGGGAGTGGAGGTGGTTTATATTGGAGCATCTATGAGCTTGATTTTAACTAGTCCTTTTGGGTCAGTACCAGGTATATCTACACCTAGGACAAGGTAAAAGCTGTTCTTGCCCTTGCTGAGGGGAGTTTGAGTCATACCCTGTATAGTTAGTCTTAAGGGATTGTGTCCTGTGGTTTCCTTATCTGTATTAGATTTAGACTGACCTCTAAAAAAGGCTATTTTGTTTTGGAATTTTGACAATACTGAACAGTATGGCGCGGAAGTGTGCCCTCGGGGACCCGTGTTCCAGTATACAAAACTCCAGTTTGGACACCAAGGTGAGTCAGGGTTACCTGTAGGAAAGAGGTACAAGTATGCATTGTACTCTCTCCAGCTTTGATCTCTACCCCCGCAATCAATTACCTCACATAAATCAAACTGGACCACGGTAGTATTAGTCCTAGAGGCTTCAATAATTAATTTAGTCCCATAAGGGTCAGTGGTGTTTACAGGGACGCTTCTTTGAAAGCGTCTCAATAGCTTGTAACTGGTATCACGGGCAGACTGGATTATAGTTTGGACTTTTTGTGTTAAAGCCTCTTGTCTTATCTGCATCCCCCACCATAATGTAGGAACTGTGATAAGTAAGAGAATGATAGCTAAGGAGAGTTTTGCAGAGTTAATGCTGTGACCTGGTGTCCTCGGTGAGGTCATGATGGTTGCTTTGGTGTTCTGGTTGTGTTAGGTCAGAGTCAGTAGTCTGGGAGGTTCTCAAGTCAGTCCGAACCTCTGACAGGGACCTATCGGTTGGGCCATGTGCCGGTGCACAATGAGTTCTGTGAATCCAGTTGCTGAGTTTGTCCTCTGCTAACCATACCTTCACACAGTGTGTGGTTACCTCACTACCTTGTATCCTTTCCACCTGGGGGAGGACCAGTTGAGTTTGATGATTTTTCTGTAGATCCAGTTTCCCACTGCTATGACAGGTGCCGCGGTGTCCTGTTCCTTGGTGAGTATTTGTGTCATCTGTTGAGAGATGCTCATCACAGTGTTGTTCAGTGTTCGTACATATTCACACAAGACCTCATGTTGTACTAATCCTGGTGGGGAGTCTGTAGGGGCAACAGTGAACGGACAGGGCATCTTTCTGCCCCATCAGGATTTCATGAGGGCTGACATTCAGGTTGATATTTGGTGTGGATCTGAGGTTAAAGAGCACAATAGGAAGGGCTGCTACCCAGGTCAATTTGGTGTCTGTGCAGACTTTTGCCAATCTTTCTTTGATGGAACGGTTTGCCCTTTCCACTAACCCTTGTGAAGCTGGGTGATAGACAGCTCCAAACTTATGTTGGATTCCAAACATTTTTTCCACTTCTCCTAGATCCTCATTAGAGAATTGAGAACCGTTGTCAGACCTTATCACCTCTGGCACCCCAAATCTGGGGATTATTTCTCTAGTGAGTCACTTAATCACTTCTGTAGCTTTTTCAGTTTTGGTGGGTGTGGCCTTTAGCCACTGGGAAAAAGGGCCTACACAGACCAAGAGGTGTCTTTTACCTTTGACTCTGTGATCAGCACCCATGTGAGTGAAATCAATCACTATTTCCTTCCATGGGGCGTCTGGCACAGGAAAGCAGCCCAGTCCTGCTTTTAGTGATGTTCTTGGGTTATATTTATTGCATATTTCACAACTCTGTACAAAGTATTTGGTGATGTGCTGGAGGTAGGGGTGCCACCAGTGTTGGGAAATGAGGGCTGTAACTTTAGAAGTTGCACAGTGACCTCTACTGTGCACTTCTTGACACAAAATATTCAGTAGTCCAGCCGGAGCTATTATTTTCCCTTCATGACTTCTCCAAAGAGCTGTCTCATCTTTGGAGGCACCTTTGTCTTTCCATGCCTGTTTTTCAAATGGAGCAGCTGCTTCTTGCAGCTCTTTAATTTTCTGTATACATAAGTCTCTATGTGTTTCACCCACTGTTGACTTTTGTCTATGTACAGTATTTACAGTGTAGCCAGCTACAGTTTTGGCAGCGAGGTCAGCTGCATTGTTTCCTCTGGTTATTCTTCCATCTCGCTTTTGATGTCCTCTGCATTTGATTATGGCTACTTTTACTGGTTCTAAGAGTGCATGATATAAATCTAACAATTGTGTCCAATGTTTGACTGGGGTGCCTGCAGAGGTCACAAAACTTTTTCTTCTCCAGTGACACAGGTCCACATGCATTGCTTTTATTGCATAGGCAGAGTCAGTGTAGATGTTTACGGTTTTTCCTTTAGCTATTTTACATGCCTCAGTTACAGCCACTAACTCTGCCAATTGTGCAGAGGCAGGCTGTGGTAAGATTTGGGTTGTTCTAGTTTCTAAGCCAGCAGGTGTTTCTTCTATCACTGCACAAGATGCTTCACAGTCATGGTCTTGTGTCATTTTCATTTGGGAGGCCATATTGTCTCCAGAGCTAGAAAAGTGAACATGGGGTTTGTTCAGAAGTTGTTAGAGGCTGTTGACTCTATGGGCTGACAACGTGAACGCTTGTGAGTCCAGAAAAGCTTTGACTCTGTGAGTGGTATGTACGATGGTTTGGTTACTCATGGTTATGGTTATTGCCTTTCCAATTGCAGCCACATGTCTGACGCATGTAGAAGGTCCCATTTCTACATTTTCAAGTCTGGAGCTGTAGTACATCAAAACCTTCCTTTCTGTGCTCCCACCTCCCCCCTTTTGAAACAGAACGGCATTCACATAGCCGTTCTTTTCATCAACATCTAAGTGAAACGGTTGTGAATAGTCTGGGGCATGAAGATGGGCAAGCATTAGCTAAAGCAGTCTTAGTGTCTACGAAGGCTTTGTCAGCTTCAGTGGTCCAGATCAAAGGGGCGTGACAATTTTTGTAGACTGCCTGCATGATGAGGGGACGTAAGGGGGCTACAAGTCCAGAGACATCAGGCACAAAAATCTTACTGTAGGTCACCAAGCCCAAGAATTGCATCATGGCTTTCACAGTACTGAGTTTTGAATAGTGCAAGATGTTTGATTTGTGGTCAGTGGTCATGTTCAAGCCATCGGAGGAGACAACACAACTGAGGAAGGTGACTTTTTGTCTACCAATCTGTATTTTGGACTTAGAGACTTTAAACCCAGTCTGAGAGATGCTTCAGTACTCTCTCAGTTGCTGTCATTGTATTGTGTCCTTTTACTGGCGACTGTCACTCAGCACTACAAGAACACAACGATCAGGATTTGGCTCAACAATTCTTCGTTTATTCTCCTTTTTCTCATACACACCATTCACCCCCTCACTGCGCCATCAGCTGGCCATAACCTGCCATTACATCTCCCCCTTTAAATGAAGGTTTAACTCTTCCCAACAAGACATCAGGGTAACACAGCATGTTCACTATTACAGCTACTTTCCATGTTTAACACCATTACCTTTACATCTGAAATTATTCAAGCCCCTTTTTGAAACATAACATTTATCTGAGAACAGACAGGAAGTAATACTTCACTGTAGCCATTTTATACCCAGAATTCACTCCATGCGATTAAACAGAACCTGGCTTTTCAGCTTAAACATTATGCATTTCAAACTGCTTAAACATTTTGCATTTCAAACCGCGTTTACACACATTCCCTTCTTCCTTCACATCCCCTATGTCTTACCTTACCATTGTCAGGTGTAAGTGTGTGTAATGTTCAAAGGTCCAGTCTTTCCGGAGCCTTAGACAGTCTCCCTAATCTAGTTACTGTCATGTTACCTGATGTTGGGGTACCTGGGACTCCTCTGTGGTGTGAGCGGTTGCGTCGCATCTGTCCTCCTTCCTGGGTCTCCACCTCATATGATCGTGGCGTAGATGCAGGGCCGATCACAGTTCCCTTAGTGTGTGTAGGTTTGATCCACACCTGTTGTCCTGGTTGAAGAGGAGGCATGCCCCGAGCCCGGTGTCGCCGGTTGAATGTTTGTAGTTGCTGCAGTTTCAACGAGGTGTCCTTGTCTCTGAAAGCTTTGAGATCAGGCCACTGTGGTTGTAGGTGATCTAGAAACACCGGTACTGGTGTTCTTATCCTCCTCCCCATCAGTAGCTGTGCCGGAGATGCCCTGTGAGCCAGTGGAGTGGATCTGTAGGCCAGTAGAGCTTTGTGGAGATCCCCCCCTTTCTCTAAGAGGGACTTAACAGTTCTCACTGCCCTTTTCGCATCTCCATTGCTGCGTGGGTACCTGGGGCTGCTAGTCACATGTGTAAAATCATAATCTTGTGCAAACTGAAAAAACCCCTGACAAGAAAACTGCGGTCCATTGTCTGTGATCAGAATTTCCGGGCATCCATGTCTGGCAAACACTGCCTTGAATCTGGCAATGGTCTGTTTAGCTGATGTGCCTGCAGGTAGGTTGCAAACTTCAATATAGCGGGAGAAATAGTCTATTAGGACTAAATAGTTCCCATTCTGCCATTGGAAAAGATCTGCTGTGACCCTCTGCCATGGTCTACTCGGGAGATCAGTTGTAAGCAAAGGGTCAACAGGCCTTTGTACTTCCTGAGCACAACTCTCACATCTCTCGACCATCTGCTTTACTGCAGATGTGATGCCAGGCCACCAGACTGATTCTCTTGCCCAGAATGAGGGGGAAACCTCACACATCACGCCCGTGCTGGAGGCTCCACGGCTGGGATGCAGACAAGCAGACAACCCGAGGGATACAGCCACACTGTAATCACGCTCCTTTGCTGGGGACATGCAGCTCCATTACGCGCCCTTCTCCTGCTCTGCTGAGAGCTCCACAGATGGGATGGAGACAACCAGACAACCGCCCACACACTGCCATAATTGAGGCCCAAAATCAGGTTGCTTTGCTGGGGACATGCAGCTCCATTATGCGCCCTTCTCCTGCTCTGCTGAGAGCTCCACAGATGGGATGGAGACAACCAGACAACCGACCACATACTGCCATAATTGAGGCCCAAAATCAGGCTGCTTTGCTGGGGACATGCAGCTCCATTACGCGCCCTTCTCCTGCTCTGCTGAGAGCTCCACAGCCTGCATGGAGACAACCAGACAACCGCCCACACACTGCCATAATTGACGCGCAAAATAGCGCTGCTTTGCTGGGGACATGCAGCTCTATTACGCGCCCTTCTCCTGCACTGCTGAGAGCTCCACAGCCTGCATGGAGGCAACCAGACAACCGCCCACACACTGCCATAATTGACGCGCAAAATAGCGTTGCTTTGCTGGGGACATGCAGCTCCATTACGCGCCCTTCTCCTGCACTGCTGAGAGCTCTACAGATGGGATGGAGACAACCAGACAACCGCCCACACACTGCCATAATTGACGCGCAAAATAGCACTGCTTTGCTGGGGACATGCAGCTCCATTACACGCCCTTCTCCTGCACTGCTGAGAGCTCCACAGCCTGCATGGAGGCAACCAGACAACCGCCCACACACTGCCATAATTGAGGCCCAAAATCAGGCTGCTTTGCTGGGGACATGCAGCTCCATTACGCGCCCTTCTCCTGCACTGCTGAGAGCTCTACAGATGGGATGGAGACAACCAGACAACCGCCCACACACTGCCATAATTGAGGCCCAAAATCAGGCTGCTTTGCTGGGGACATGCAGCTCCATTAC